AATGAGTCAACACCTGGGCAAATATTTATTAGAACCCTGAAAAAAAACGAGACGTGACTTTTAACTATAACTACATAATTATGTAAATACAAAATGCTTTTGCATTTGTCAGTCTGTTTCACTGCAGTTTGGAGAAATCTGAGATTAAAAGTAAAGGTGTGTGCCAAGGACGCCATGCGCCCGCAGGCAGCAAAGTGTTTTCTCTGCCACCACACAACTGAATAACATGACACAATTTCACTTTATAATCACTTGTTACAAAGCTGCTGTAAATGTGCGAAACATGTGAGTACCTGTATTACAGTGTCCTTCTACCATTATTAACCAGATTCACTTGGACTGTAATTTCATATCACTTTAAAGTTGCATGCTTTCTCGAACTTGGTCATAAATGGACAGAAACATGCCGATTGCAAACTGGCTCATTATTGCTGACCAATATTTGAAGCCCATATTAACTGCAATTATGACCAAGCGCCTAAGAAAAAACGATTTTTCACATTCTGTCATAAATTCTAAGCCTTGTTATTAAGCATACATGGATAACACGAAGCAGATACAGGTGGCAAAGTCAAAATCGCTCTCAAATTTCGAAAACAGTTCAAATCTGCATAATGAAAATCTTTTAATTCTAAGCCAAAGAGTCGCGCACAAAAGCTGGACGCTCTGGAAATGACCTCATGCGGTTTCGTCACTGCTCAGTTCTCCGGCACAAAAATCTTTAACCTGTTACGGGGTTCGCAAGGCGCAGTAAATAGACATTTATTTGTCTCTGTTGCTCTGTCACTGAGGTAAACCTAAAGATTTTATGGGCTTGTGTGCGGCATTTCTAGGGGGTGCGCTGTAAAGCTCTCAGTGAAGTCGGTTCAACACGCACAAACACCAAAAAAACTAAACTTAAGTCACAGTCTGTCGACGAGATTCTTACTGTAATAATCAACAGGCTCTGTTAGCAACTGCCCCGGTGCGGGATCTCTGTTGTGCGTGAATGTGCCAGTAAATGTGCGCTTACCATCAGTAGAGGTACAGGTATCCTCGAATGAAGTGAATATGAAAGGGAAGGTGTAAGGCAGTCCAGACGTAAAGCGGAGAAAACGCCGAAATGAGCGTTATAGAGGAATTTGGATGCCTGTTTGGCTTATTAATCCTTTAGCGACACCTCTAAACAGACAGGACGGAATCGGAGTGAAGGCCGGCGCTCGGGCTCTGAAGCGGGTTTCCTATCCGTCTCCAGTGCAGCTCGTGAGGGCGGGCGGTCCGCAGGATGGACAGACTTTGCAAATGATCCAGCATCTATAGTCTCTTGCAGTTTTTATGTGTCCGCCCAATTTACCCTCCCTGCCTCCTCCTCCTCCCTCCCCGACCCCCACCTCCTTGATCTGTCTCAAACACCTTGGATAACCCCCTTCTCTCCTCCACTTTAAATGAAAAGAGCTCCCTGCGCGCATTTTCTTTTTCATTATGTGAAACTTTGTATATCGACCATAAATAACAGCTGATGGGTCAAAGGCTCAATAGTCCGAATCTGCATTTTAAAGCCGGGATCTAGATAGTAAACTACTTTCTGCTAAGTAATATTGTGGTACCTTATATAAAAATGGATACATATACCTGCAGATGTAAACAATAGGCCTAAAGAGAAGTAGAGTGACATTTAGGCTCAGTGGCAACATAAGACATCCATATTTTGAAATTAACCAAAATACCAATACATAATTTTTTTTTACAAATAATGTTTCAAGTGTGCTTTGAATTTATGTGCCCCCCCCCCCCCCAAAAAAAAATCATTTTTATTTTATTTTATTTGCCCTTTAGCAGATGTTGGAATCGTTATCCCCCCCATAGATGTAGCCCTAGAGGCCAAAACCGATTTTAACAAGGCCCTTGGTAGTTCCTCACCCACTGTCAGTGATGTTATACTGTAAGAGAGAAACCTGTGGTCTCGGTCCTATGCCACTCTCTTTGGATAGACCTTTGGATAATTTTGCTTGGGAACCCGGTTTGAGAAAGACACTTGTTGATATAACGTAATTTAGTAAGCAGCTTTGTGAATGCTGTTAATTTTAAAAAAGGGTCTCACACGGCATCGCACTGTGCTCAGTAGTGTGTAAAATAAGAGGGCTCCAATGGAAATTATTCAGGGGCCTGTGAATGGCCCCACGCCTGGGAACCAGTGTTTTCAAATATCTTAAATGAATTGAAATGACACATATTGTACATGTGCGTTTTTTTATCATCTTAAATAAGAAAATAACATTTAAACATACAGTATTTTTAAAAGTCATTAGATATATTGTGCCATATATTGAAAATACAGTTCATAAAATCACAACTGCATTTCATCACAATCACACATTCAAATTTCCATAGCTGTAATTTAGTCACAATTGCACCTTAAATATTCTCCATACAAAATATTTCCCAGATACGTTTGTTTTGTTCAATTAGGCTACTGTTACACAAACCAGCCAGAAAGGACAAAACTCACAATTTATTC